TTAAAACAAACACATTTAAAACTAAGTTATAGCTGCACCAATAATCCTGAAAATATTATAGCAGTAATAATATTTTAAACCAGTTTAATAATCTGGATCATAATACATGTTTCAAGATAAATATTAATGATATTGGCCAATATAATTGTACCAATTCTGACTAATGCTAAACAAATTTTTAACTAAAACTTTGATTTATCTTAGTACTATTTCTACAATAAAGAATCCAACAGTTGAAAAATCCTATATTGGTAGTACAATGAATTAATTTAAGACTAGGTGATATAAATATATCTTGTCCTTTACTAATACTACTTACAGAAATAATACATCACTTTCTAAATATTTTTGAAGTTTAAAAAAGATGATGATAAGACTCCTATGGTGAAATGAAAAAAAAAAAAATGGCAAGAACATTCAATCTTTTGTATGAACCCTGTTTTCTGTGTTTACATGAAAAACTCAAAATCATCTGATTTTTTTGATAAAAAAAAATTCATTGTTAAATCAATTTTGAATTAACAGAACTTTTTAAACATAGTTTATCATTTTACCAGGTCTGATGATTGTGTTTAGCATGAAACAGTCTGTTGCCTCTGAGTGTTGACTTCAGTGTTCACTTTTATATTTATATACATTCTATTTCTGATATTGAGCACTTTATCTGGATTGTGTATTATTTTCATTATCAAATAACTGCAAATGATAGTCTTAAAGTTGCATTGTTTATATCTGGCTTCAGCTCATTACTGGTACAACAGTGTAATGGTTCATCATATGTCCTTTGGTCATCCGTTATATTCTTATTCGATCTCATGTCTTTCCTTTAAACTTTTCAACTATTTATATATTATGCTAGTGCTACATTATTTGGGGTGATACCAATTAAGTATATATATATATATAATTCTTTATTTTAAAAAATTTATAACATAAATATTTTATAAAATCACTACAAAAATAGCCATTTTGTTTCAACACTCTCAGTGTCTTATCAAGTGATGATGTTGAATGTAAAATAAATGGTTTTAAAAGTTTCGAAATAATTAACAATCCTTCACAAGGGGAAAACGTTGTTACAAAAGCTAGATGGACCAATCAAAATACAAGTATAGGAAAAAAAAAAGCTTGACAACGAAGTCATGTTATAATAGCTATTCAAATATTTAAAATATGGGTAGTATTAAAAAAAGAATTTATTCTAATCAATAATTACTAAATTATATGATAAAGTTTAATATTAAAATTAAAAACTGTTAATTTCAAAATCAAAATTTTTAAAGTTTAAAATTAAGTTTACTGAGGAGAAAAGAAGAAATATATATGTTATTCAATTTATTTCTTCATTGAAGTTACTTTAGCTAATTTTATATCCGGTCTTTTTTGACAATGTATCCATTTTAATCCTAAGAGTGTGTGAATGGGGTCCTAAACTCACAAAAAAACAAACGCAATCAGATTATAATATCTAAGCACCCAGACATATTTAAATATATATACACACAAAAAAAAGGAGACGAGACGGAGAACATCACCACGATCTTTATAAAAAAAAAAAATGGAGGGAGGAAAGGAAACAACGTTTTACATACATACACTAAAAGTGAATGCACTTTCCTACACATAGACAATAATAAATACATGCACAGACATCCACATACATTGACCCAGACAATCGGATACAACAACTAAAATATTTAAGACTGAAAGTAAATGCTCATCATTTACTGAAATATAACTTAAGCGAGCAAATATACAGAGATAAAAATGATTAAAAAAAAAATATATATATATAATATTATTTAATATATTAAAATAGTGTATGTAAATCTAAAAATATAAAATCGGACGTGAAAAGTCAACACCCATAGGTAACTTCGATGTCCACCTCACACATAAATACCTATATATATATATATATATATATATACATACACATACACACACACACACACACACACACATATATATATATATATATATATATATATATATATATACACACATACACACATACATATATATATATACATATACATATATACACACACACAAATAAACACATATATACATATACATATAATAATTTTTTTACACACTCACACACATATATATATATATATATATATATATATATATATATATATATATATATATATATATATATACACACACATACATATACACAGAAATACACACAAATAAATACATAAACATATACATATGTATATATCTCCATGATAATAAGTACACATACACATTCATATATACACATATATACCCACAATTATACACCCATATATGTACACATACTCACATGTAAATATATACACACAGCAATATACAAATATAAACATATATACACACATATACTAGCTCATGTGGCCGTAATGACATACCCAAGTTTCCATACCTACACGTACACACAATCTCATATACAATAGGTGTCAATATACACATATACAACCGCAAACATACATAAGTAAATACATACACATAT